TGCCCAATACTGTCACTGTGGCGGCGTGTCCACTCACAGGATGAGTGGCGCTGCCCAATACTGTCACTGTGGCGGTGTGTCCACTCACAGGATGAGTGACGCTGCCCAATACTGTCACTGTGGCGGTGTCTCCACTCACAGGATGAGTGACGCTGCCCAATACTGTCACTGTGGCGGTGTGTCCACTCACAGGATGAGTGGCGCTGCCCAATACTGTCACTGTGGCGGTGTGTCCACTCACAGGATGAGTGGCGCTGCCCAATACTGTCACTGTGGCGGTGTGTCCATTCACAGGATGAGTGGCGCTGCCCAATACTGTCACTATGGCGGTGTGTCCACTCACAGGATGAGTGGCGTTGCCCAATACTGTCACTATGGTGGTGTGTCCACCCACAGGATGAGTGGCGCTGCTCAATACTGTCACTATGGCAGTGTTTCCACTCACAGAATGAGTGGCGCTGCCCAATACTGTCACTATGGCGGTGTGTCCACTTACAGGATGAGTGGCGCTGCCCAATACTGTCACTATGGCGGTGTGTCCACTCACAGGATGAGTGGCGCTGCGCAATACTGTCACTATGGCGGTGTGTCCACTCACAGGATGAGTGGCGCTGCCCAATACTGTCACTATGGCGGTGTGTCCACTCACAGGATGAGTAGCGCTGCCCAATACTGTCACTTTGTCGGTGTGTCCACTCACAGGATGAGTGGCGCTGCCCAATACTGTCACTATGGCGGTGTGTTCACTCACAGGATGAGTGGCGCTGCCCAATACTGTCACTATGGCGGTGTGTCCACTCACAGGATGAGTGCCGCTGCCCAATACTGTCACTATGGCGATGTGTCCACTCACAGGATGAGTGGTGCTGCCCAATACTGTCACTATGGCGGTGTGTCCACCCACAGGATGAGTGGCGCTGCCCAATACTGTCACTATGGCGGTGTGTCCACTCACAGGATGAGTGGTGCTGCCCAATACTGTCACTATGGCGGTGTGTCCACTCACAGGATGAGTGACGCTGCCCAATACTATCACTATGGTGGTGTGTCCACTCACAGGATGAGTGACGCTGCCCAATACTGTCACTATGGCGGTGTGTCCACTCACAGGATGAGTGACGCTGCCCAATACTGTCACTATGGCGGTGTGTCCACTCACAGGATGAGTGACGCTGCCCAATACTATCACTATGGTGGTGTGTCCACTCACAAGATGAGTGGTGCTGCCCAATATACTTGCCCCTCGGGGCAAAATCTAAAATCTACTCTCATGTCGGAGTATCTGAGAGTCTTGAGCTGTCTCCACTCTTCTCTTTAATTGTGCATTGTCTGCAAACATCGACATATAGGATTCAACTCGTGTGGTTAAGGCTTTAGCATAAGAATTAGTATGGGTGTCCAGCACCCTGAGGTCCTCCTCTGTGAGTTACGCTACGTCAGTTCCTCTTCTTGCCCCTCACTGCCTCTCACCTGCTTCTTATCCATGTCAATGTCTCTTCCACTTCCTCCTATCTCTCTCCCTCCCAAGTTCATGTACAAAGCCAGGGTGTCCAAAATCGATACCTAGAATGCCTTTTATTCTCCTCTCCGAAGCAGGGGTACCCAAATATCCTACCAGAAGTGGTACCCTCCTTTATATATATATATATATATATATATATATATATATATATATATATATATATATATATATATATATATATATATATATACTATATTTGAGTATACTAAGATTCAGGTTTACAGATCCTGTGTCCTGAGCACTCTCCTTTATGGCAGTGAGTCTTGGACACTCCGTGCCCGTCAGGAAGGACGGCTGAATGCCTACCACATGCGCTGCCTTAGACACATCTTGGACATCACCTGGCAGGACAAGGTGACAAACAACAACGTCTTGGGGAGAGCAAGAATCACCAGCATGTACACAATGCTGAAACAGAGACGAATGCGCTGGCTCGGGCACGTTGTGCGAATGGGCGACGGCAGGATCCCCAAGGATCTCCTGTATGGAGAGCTGAGGCAGGGAAAGCGTCCAGTAGGCAAGCCCCAGCTACGGTACAAAGACGTATGCAAAAGGGACCTGAAAGCCATGGACGTCGATCTTGCTATATGGGAGACGCTGGCTGCAGACCGTTCAGCCTGGAGGCAGTCTGTTCAACGAGGTCTCTCCAAGTTCGAGGAGTCACTTGCCAAGGAATCGGAGGCAAAGAGACAGAGAAGGAAAGCCGGTAACCAGGAAGACAGACCAGAATCGGACTTCGTTTGTGCTCGGTGTGCGATGGACTGCCACTCTCGGATTGGCCTCATCAGTCACACCAGACGCTGCACCAGGATTGACAACTAGGGCGCAACTCCATAGTCTCCCGAGACTGAAGGATGCCTAATCTAAATCTAATCTAATATATATATATATATATATATATATATATATATATATATATATATATATATATATATAAGGCAAGTTTTCATGAATTAATTGTTTTTCGACTACCTAACCTACCTAACCTAAATTAACATAACTTTTTCGGCTACCTAACCTAACCTATAAAGATAGGTTAGGTTAGGATAGGTAGGGTTGGTTAGGTTCGGTTATATATCTACGTTAATTTTGACTCCAATAAAAAAAAATTGACCTCATACATAATGAAATGGGTAGCTCTATCATTTCATAAGAAAAAAATTAGAGAAAATATATTAATTCAGGAAAACTTGGCTTATTATGCAAATCGGGCCTTGCATAGTAGGCTGAGAAGTGCGTTCTGGCTATTAGGTACGATATATATATATATATATATATATATATATATATATATATATATATATATATATATATATATATATATATATATATATATATATATACATATATATATATATCCCCCCTTGCCGCCATAAAGAGGCGACAGACAAGCCCACTAAGAGCTCCAGTAAGCCTTGCCGACCATTAACCAGGCCGCCGGCTGGTAAACAAAGCCACGCCATCTGTCGGGAGGAACGTGCACTGAAGCGCCTTATCTTTACCAGACAATTATCTTATGTTTACTGTGCTCGCCTTGTTTATCATCGCTTATTCTTTCCCATATTAATCCTCCTACCGGAGTCACCCTTGGTTTAGTCCAACACTGACTTTACGATTAGTGTACATTTAGTGCCGATATATATTAGGGGTTAGTGTAAGTCCAATATTCACATTTGGATCGGTTTAAGTTCGATACAAATATATTTGGGTCAGAATAAGTCCGATACTAACACATTGAGGAAAAGTAAGTCCAAGAGTAACATATTAGGGTCAGCGTAAGGCCAATACCGATATATTAGGATAAGTGTAAGTCCAATATTCGCATTAGGGCCAGTGTAAGTCCAATATTCACATTAGGGCCAGTGTAAGTCCAATATATACATTACATTCAGTGTAATTCCAATATTCAAATTATTGCCAGTGTAAGTCCAATATTCATATTAGATTCACAGTAAGTCCAATATTCACATTAGATTCAGTGGAAGTCCAATATTCACATTAGGGCCAGTGCAAGACCAATATTCACATTAGATTCAGTGTAAGTCCAATATTCCCATTAGGGCCAGTGTAAGTCCAATACGATCATATTAGGGGGGGGTAATAATCAGGGTGAAGGATAACTTACCAAATAGATCGTGTACACTGAAGCTTGGAAGGAATGTAGCTAAATACGCCTTATGTACGTTATGAAGATATTGTCGTAAGTGAGGGAGAAAATGTTATATATTGTCGTTATTCTTATAAATGGACATTATCACTCGAGTCTGGGCAAGAGTTCTGCCAGTGGCTGCTGTGCTTAAGTGGGATGTTATTTGTTCTTGACCCCGGGGTTAAGTGCATGACCCGGGGGATAAAGTGATCCTGTTCTCTAAGTCATCCTGTAGGACTATGTCTTAGTTTGAAGCCCCCCTTGACCTCCTGACCCCCTCTGCCATTAGTGCTATTAGTGCCTCCGAGAGAGCCACCCAGCTTCTGTTCATCTACATCTGGAGAACATCATGTCGTGTTCTTCTATGTAAACTATTACAATATATAAGCATTTATGATTTTTTTTAGTTCATCTGTGATCATGTTTCTGTATCGCTGTCTTTGAGTATTTTCGTGTTCTCCTGTATGTGTTTCCCTGTGTCACTCACCCGTGTTCTCCTGTACCTCTCCTGTATGTGTTTCCCTGTGTCACTCACCCGTGTTCTCCTGTACCTCTCCTGTATGTGTCTCCCTGTGTCACTCACCCGTGTTCTCCTGTACCTCTCCTGTATGTGTTTCCCTGTGTCACTCACCCGTGTTCTCCTGTACCTCTCCTGTATGTGTCTCCCTGTGTCACTCACCCGTGTTCTCCTGTACCTCTCCTGTATGTGTCGCCATGTGTCACTCACCCGTGTTCTCCTGTACCTCTCCTGTATGTGTCTCCGTGTCACTCACTCGTGTTCTCCTGTACCTCTCCTGTATGTGTCTCCCTGTGTCACTCACCCGTGTTCTCCTGTACCTCTCCTGTATGTGTCTCCCTGTGTCACTCACCCGTGTTCTCCTGTACCTCTCCTGTATGTGTCTCCCTGTGTCACTCACCCGTGTTCTCCTGTACCTCTCCTGTATGTGTCTCCCTGTGTCACTCACCCGTGTTCTCCTGTACCTCTCCTGTATGTGTCGCCATGTGTCACTCACCCGTGTTCTCCTGTACCTCTCCTGTATGTGTCTCCCTGTGTCACTCACCCGTGTTCTCCTGTACCTCTCCTGTATGTGTCTCCCTGTGTCACTCACCCGTGTTCTCCTGTACCTCTCCTGTATGTGTCTCCCTGTGTCACTCACCCGTGTTCTCCTGTACCTCTCCTGTATGTGTCTCCCTGTGTCACTCACCCGTGTTCTCCTGTACCTCTCCTGTATGTGTCTCCCTGTGTCACTCACCCGTGTTCTCCTGTACCTCTCCTGTATGTGTCTCCCTGTGTCACTCACCCGTGTTCTCCTGTACCTCTCCTGTATGTGTCTCCCTGTGTCACTCACCCGTGTTCTCCTGTACCTCTCCTGTATGTGTCTCCCTGTGTCACTCACCCGTGTTCTCCTGTACCTCTCCTGTATGTGTTTCCCTGTGTCACTCACCCGTGTTCTCCTGTACCTCTCCTGTATGTGTCTCCCTGTGTCACTCACCCGTGTTCTCCTGTACCTCTCCTGTATGTGTCTCCCTGTGTCACTGTACCTCTCCTGTATGTGTCTCCCTGTGTCACTCACCCGTGTTCTCCTGTACCTCTCCTGTATGTGTCTCCCTGTGTCACTCACCCGTGTTCTCCTGTACCTCTCCTGTATGTGTCGCCATGTGTCACTCACCCGTGTTCTCCTGTACCTCTCCTGTATGTGTCTCCCTGTGTCACTCACCCGTGTTCTCCTGTACCTCTCCTGTATGTGTCTCCCTGTGTCACTCACCCGTGTTCTCCTGTACCTCTCCTGTATGTGTCTCCCTGTGTCACTCACCCGTGTTCTCCTGTACCTCTCCTGTATGTGTCTCCCTGTGTCACTCACCCGTGTTCTCCTGTACCTCTCCTGTATGTGTCTCCCTGTGTCACTCACCCGTGTTCTCCTGTACCTCTCCTGTATGTGTCTCCCTGTGTCACTCACCCGTGTTCTCCTGTACCTCTCCTGTATGTGTCTCCCTGTGTCACTCACCCGTGTTCTCCTGTACCTCTCCTGTATGTGTCTCCCTGTGTCACTCACCCGTGTTCTCCTGTATGTGTCTCCCTGTGTCACTCACTCGTGTTCTCCTGTCAGAAACCTGTCCTCTTAAAAAGAACGTCGCTTTTGGCCGTTTGCCCGTATGGCCGAATATGGACGTAATTTGAAAATGAAAAAAAAATGAATATAAATTTGGGATTTTTTTTTACAACAGTAAGTTAAGGGGAGCCGGTCGGCCGAGCGGACAGCACGCTGGACTTGTGATCCTGCGGTCCCGGGGTCGATCCCGGGCGCCGGCGAGAAACAATGTGCAAAGTTTCTTTCACCCTATGCCCCTGTTACCTAGCAGTAAAATAGGTACCTGGGTGTTAGTCAGCTGTCACGGGCTGCTTCCTGGGGGTGGAGGCCTGGTCGAGGACCGGGCCGCGGGGACACTAAAAAAGCCCCGAAATCATCTCAAGATAACCTCAAGATAACCTCCTCTGGTAGGCTAGTTGGGCAGGAAATTCTCGTAATGTTTCATACGTGTGAGTCGATTTCATTTCAAATTACGAAATGGGTGCGCATACCAGCCAAAAGTGACGTTATTTTTAAGGGACGGGTTGCGCGAACAGCTTCGCAGCGTCTCCAAGCTGTCATTGGGATTTTTTTTTTTTTTTTTTTTTTTTTTTTTTGCCCAAGCCCTGCTTGCCCGAGGCCAGGCTTGACTTGTGAGAGTTTGGTCCACCAGGCTGTTGCTTGGAGCGGCCCGCAGGCCCACATACCCACCACAATCCGGCTGATCCGGCACTTCTTGGAGAAAACAGTCTAGTTTTCTCTTGAAGATGTCCACAGTTGTTCCGGCAATATTTCTTATGCTCGCTGGCAGGACGTTGAACAACCGCGGACCTCTGATGTTTATACAGTGTTCTCTGATTGTGCCTATGGCACCTCTGCTCTTCACTGGTTCTATTCTGCATTTTCTTCCATATCGTTCACTCCAGTACGTTGTTATTTTACTGTGTAGATTTGGGACCTGGCCCTCAAATATTTTCCATGTGTATATTATTTGATATCTCTCTCGTCTCCTTTCTAGTGAGTACATTTGGAGAGCTTTGAGACGATCCCAATAATTTAGGTGTTTTATCTCGTCTATGCGTGCCGTATATGTTCTCTGTATTCCCTCTATTTCAGCAATCTCTCCTGCTCTGAAGGGGGAAGTGAGTACTGAGCAGTACTCAAGACGGGACAACACAAGTGACTTGAAGAGTACAACCATTGTGATGGGATCCCTGGATTTGAAGGTTCTCGTAATCCATCCTATCATTTTTCTGGCTGACGCAATATTTGCTTGGTTATGCTCCCTAAACGTTAGGTCGTCGGACATCATTATTCCCAAATCCTTTACATGCTGTTTTCCTACTATGGGAAGATTTGACTGTTTTGTACTCTGTATTATGTTTAAGGTCCTCATTTTTACCGTACCTGAGTACCTGGAATTTATACCTGTTAAACATCATGTTATTTTCTGCTGCCCAGTCGAAAACTTTATTAATATCTGCTTGTAGTTTTTCAATGTGTTCAACCGAGGTAATTTTCATGCTGATTTTTGTATCTGCAAAGGATGATACGAAGCCTTATGCCTTGTATTTGAGTCTATATTTGATATGAGAATAAGGAAAAGCAGTGGTGCAAGAACTGTACCTTGAGGTACTGAGCTTTTAACTGCGCTTGGACTCGATTTTATATGGTTGACTGTTACTCTTTGTGTTCTGATCGACAGAAAATTGAGTATTCAGCGTCCTATTTTTCCAGTTATTCCCACTGACCTCATTTTGTGTGCAATCACTCCATGGTCACATTTATCGAATGCCTTTGCAAAGTCCGTGTATACCACATCTGCATTCTGTTTTTCTTCTAATGCCTCAGTGATTTTGTCGTAATGGTCAAGTAGCTGTGAGAGGCATGATCTTCCCGCTCTAAATCCATGTTGGCCTGGGTTGTGGAGGTCATTGGTCTCCATGAAACTGGTGACCTGACTGCTAATCACTCTCTCAAATACTTTTATTATGTGGGACATAGTGCAACTGGTCTATAATTCTTTGCCAATGCTTTTCTCCCCTTCCTTGTATATAGGGGCTATGTCTGCTGCTTTAAGTGCATCTGGTATCTCCCCCGTGTCCAAGCTTTTCCTCCACACTATACTGAGTGCCTGTGCTACTGGCACCATGCATTTCTTTATTTTAAATTGAATTCCATGAGTCTGGACCCGGGGCTGAGTGCATGGGCACGTTATCAATTTCCGTTCAAAATCTGCCACGCTCGTGTTGATATCAGTTATATTTACAGGGGTTTGGATATCACGCATAAAGAAGTTGTCTGGATCTTCCACTTTCATGCTGATTTTTTGAGTGCTAAACATGTCCTCATACAGGTTTTTTTTGGATTTCACTGATTTCTTTGTCATCCTCAGTGCATGAACCTTCACTAGTACGAACAGGTCCAATACTGGCAGTGGTTTTTGCTTTTTGATTTAGCATGAGAAAAAATATTTGAGGTTTTCTTTATTTCTTGAATTACTTTCTGTTCTAGTTGCCTTTCTTCAGTCTGATATGAATGCTTCAGTCTCTGTTCAATTTCTTCAATTTCCCTGTTTAATTATTCCTTCTTTATATGGAAAGTTGTGTTTGCTTAAGCATTTCCGTTATTTTAATATTCTTTTGTAGTGTCGTCTGCGTTCTCTTTCTATGTTGGACCTCTTTCTGGCTGGGCTCACCATAGCCCGTGTTACTTGGAACTTTTTGTTCCAGGTAGCGAATCTTTAACAACAACATCTTTCTGGCTTTCCTCAAAGGCCCATGATTCAGACAGACTTTATATGCTTCAGAAGGTACTTTTTCTATTCCTTGTGTTGGATCTTTATTACTTAGAACATTTTCCCATTGAATGTTTGTAAGGTCCTTGTTTATTTTCTCCCAGTCTATCCGTTTATTACTAAATTTTAATTTACTGAGTAACCCTTCTCGCTTGTTGTTTCTCTTAGGCCTACTACCGTTATTAATGTTAGTTTGCACTTCAATGAGCTTGTGGTCCGAGTACGTAGTGTCTGAGACTATAATGTCTCTGATTAGCTCATCATTGTTCGTGAATATCAGGTCCAGTGTGTTTTCTTTCCTAGTTGGTTCTGTAATCTGCTGACTGAGCGAGAATTTGTCACAGAATCTCAGTAGTTCTCTGACCTGTGGTTGGTTATTTCCAGGTTGATTTCCTGCTATAATGTTATTGTTTACTATTCTCCATTTTAAACTGGGTAGATTGAGGTCTCCAAGGAAGATAATATCTGGTACTGGGTTTGCTAGGTTATCAAGAATGTTTTCTATTTTGTTGATCTGTTTGGTGAATTCCTCAGCTGTTGCATTTGGCGGTTTGTATATTAAAATAATGATTAATATTTTCTACCTTGATTCCAAGTACCTCTACCACCTCATTGGTCGAGTTCAGGCGCTCTGTGCATGCCAGTTCCTCTTTAATATACAGACCTACTCCTCCACTTGACCTAATTACTCTGTCACATCTATATATATTCCAACCCGTTCACAACCCGTTCTCGCAAATTTAATAAGTCAATATTGACTTATTAAATTTGCGAGAACGGGTTGCAACGTCATATTGATCTTTCCGTCTATAACTCTGTGTACCTCTCACGTGGAATTCTGGACACTGAAGATTGTAACTTTTTTTCGTTAACTGAAAACTTACATAGTTTAGGGTGGAAGTATCGCACTCTGTTTCAAAACGGCACGTACCCCTCGCCAACATGTTCTGCATTTTCGAGGATGCAGAAAAGTGCATTTTACGTCATTTTCCCATATTTACAGCTGCCTTCTTGAGGTTATCTTGAGATGATTTCTGGGCTTATTTTTTAGTGTCCCCGCGGCCCGGTCCTCGACCAGGTCTCCACCCCCAGGAAGCAGCCCGTGACAGCTGACTAACTCCCAGGTACCTATTTACTGCTAGGTAACAGGGGACACCTTCGCCTTGTGCAAAGAATTTGCAAATATTCTCAGATTTTATTTTCTACAGGTTATTTATACTATGCCTGTCTTGGCCGCCTCTTTATTGGAGCCATCTTAGTTTTTCGACCCAATTCCTTCGTTTATGCGCTCTTTCCCACTGTTGTTTTCATTGTTTATATTACCTGGCTCTGCAATATGTAGAGGATGGACCTCTGCAAAGATGTAGAGGTTTCGTAAGTAGAGCCATAAAGGATTGGTGAATGAGGGCCGAGGCTAACACCAGTGCCTAATGACACACCTGCAACGCCTCCAACTTTCCAAGAACTGTTATAAACTGGAGTAATTTATTACTATATTGCATTACATAATGTATTAATTGATATGTTTTGTGAGGGTGGTGAGTGTGTGAGGGTGGTGAGTGTGTGAGGGTGGTGAGTGTGTGCGGGTGGTGAGTGTGTGCGGGTGGTGAGTGTGTGAGGGTGGTGAGTGTGTGCGGGTGGTGAGTGTGTGAGGGTGGTGAGTGTGTGAGGGTGGTGAGTGTGCGGGTGGTGAGTGTGTGAGGGTGGTGAGTGTGTGCGGGTGGTGAGTGTGTGCGGGTGGTGAGTGTGCGGGTGGTGAGTGTGTGCGGGTGGTGAGTGTGTGCGGGTGGTGAGTGTGTGCGGGTGGTGAGTGTGTGCGGGTGGTGAGTGTGTGCGGGTGGTGAGTGTGTGAGGGTGGTGAGTGTGTGAGGGTGGTGAGTGTGTGAGGGTGGTGAGTGTGTGAGGGTGGTGAGTGTGTGCGGGTGGTGAGTGTGTGCGGGTGGTGAGTGTGTGAGGGTGGTGAGTGTGTGCGGGTGGTGAGTGTGTGAGGGTGGTGAGTGTGTGCGGGTGGTGAGTGTGTGAGGGTGGTGAGTGTGTGCGGGTGGTGAGTGTGTGAGGGTGGTGAGTGTGTGCGGGTGGTGAGTGTGTGAGGGTGGTGAGTGTGTGAGGGTGGTGAGTGTGTGCGGGTGGTGAGTGTGTGAGGGTGGTGAGTGTGTGCGGGTGGTGAGTGTGTGCGGGTGGTGAGTGTGTGAGGGTGG